GGTGTAGTGCTTGCCAAACACTCGGTCCTCGTTTAGTTTGCCTTCAGTGTCCGGTTCCCCAGATGATAATCCTTTATGTAGTGCCATCGAAGATCTGTGCTATCTCTCTACTCGGGACTTCCCAAGCGGGCTTCTGTATTTCCTGATCTCTTGGATTTATTTGGCTGCTTCACTTGGGTTTCGTGTAATTCATACGTTATACTACGTTCTACAACCTCCTAATGCAAGTTGGTAAGACCAAGGTTACAGGTGCTGACCCGATCAACATATCATACAGTTTTACCATAATGCATTTCTGCAAATTCAAATTTTCGTCGCCAGTGGGATTCAAACTCTTATCCTGCCGCTTGGGGGTGTGACAACTTACCAACTACACTAAGTCGCCACACCCTTATTTTATTATTTCTTTTTCTTTTTATTTATATTTTTTAATATAATTCTCTATATCTTTGTGTTTTTTAGGTTGTTTTGTTTTACTTTCTTATTTTGCTTCTTGATAAGTAAATAGCTACTAGCTAATAAACAATAAGAAATAAGTTTTTAATAAATTAAGAATTCAAAGTATTACTAAGACAAATTGTATCTGGTATATAAAAAATATGTAAATAAACCTTTGTCTTGGTTGGATTAGCTATAGTCTATAATAAAATTCTTGTTATTTTTTACATGACTTAATTTCAAATAAACAAAGATAAAATAGTCAAATTAGAAGAAAAAAAAAGTAAAATATTGGTTTTTAATTTAATAATTATATTAAAATTTAATTATATAGTATATTTAATTTTTTTTTTAGTTTTAAACAAACAACTTGTTTATTAATTAAAAATTATTTTTGCTATTACCAAATAAATTTAATAATTCTATATACTATATATATAATATTTTTTTTTTTTTGTATTAAAATTCAAAATAAAAATTAATATTAATATATAAATAAGATATTAAATACTGTCGAACCTTCTTAAACCAATATGCATAGTAAACGGGTTTGTATTAGTATTGAGATGTTAGGGATTAAACTACTAGATTTATAGCAGAAACAGAACAGACATGGTGGATTATATTTGCCAGGTTTTGGGAGGTTCGAAAATTAATTTTTTTTTATGTAATCAAATGGTAAATGATCTGCATTATCGTTTATGCATTGCAATTAATCTAAATATGCAATGATCGCATGTGTTTGGTAACCTTAATCAGTAATTAAATGTGGAGGGGATAAAAAAGGTAAGAGTTGGTCTTAGGAATATTACTCCAATTCCCTGACAAAATAAGCCAACGTTATACGTGACCTTCTTTACCCAACAAAACAAAAAAAAGTCAAAATAGAAAAACTTTCAACATGTTTTCTGTACCTCCAATCGAAGCCGTATATACTTGGCGCCAAAGTGATTTAATGAAATTTATTCAACGCGTCGAGCGCCTCCATCCCGAAGATAGAAACTTTCATATAATTGAAGGGCTCAACTTGACTCCTGTCCGTCTTCTTAAATTGACCGACGAAAGAATTGATACTTTAGTTACCGAACGTGTTATTCAAACAACTCAAGGTGACATTATTGAAAGTGCCCGAGACGAGCTTGCAAGTAATTATCAAATATATATATAATTTTAGGTTTCTGACATAGATACACGCGTTTTCATTAAGACTAATAATCAAAAATTTTAAATATATTATCGTTAATAGGAGCTATAATGAGATATGGTATAAATGAAACAATTAATAAAATCAATATTTTTCGGAAAGATTAACGGTCTTAATTTACCTAATTGATTAATTTTTGCAACTCTTGCTGTTTTGATTTTATTAAAACAGTTGATAATTTAGTGATGCAACAACCCGCTTTAACCTTGTTTCATGTGCAAGTTATGGAGCGACTGCATGTCGATATTGCGTTTGGAGTTGATATCATTGAACATAATAGCTTTAACAACTTGGTACCTTTCTTGAAAGCAGGTATAAAAAGAATAAAAAGAGTAATTTACTAATAACAAAAATTTAGATCTTTTTAATATGTAATCAATTCACTTTTACCATCAATAGAACTTAAGAAATCATTTATGCCCAAGGCACCTCGGGCTGCAAGCATTGCGGCAGCAGCCGCAATTGCTAAACATGATGGCGGGGTAATTATCTAGAATTATCTAGAAGTTTATTATTAAAAATATATATGATAATTTTATATATATATTTTTTTTATGAGAATAATTAGTAATTTTGTAATAATATATATATTTTTAATATCTTTTTATAACATTAAGTCAAATCCTGATAATTCATCTCACGAACGATCGAATCGTAAGGATGCACCGATTAAAGAAGAAATTTGTGAAGTAAACAAGCTTATCATTTTTCAACAGCGACAGAGTGGCGCAGGGTATTGTCTTCGAAATCATATTTGTAAATATATCATGCGTGCTAAAGGAAATCTATCAGAAAGCACACTCAGGTACCCTACATAACAAATCTAACGTAACAAAAGTAATATTATCAATCCTTTTAATAATTTCACCTTAATATATAAATTAATATAATATTATTAAAGTAAACATATAGCCTCGGATATGGAGGAATTGCAGATTACGAAATTTCCGGTCGAGCCTGAGGAACGCGAATTCATTAAATATTGTCAAGAGTAATTTTTTTCTTTTTTTTCTTTTTTTTTTTTTTTTTAAGACAAAAAAAAGGTCTTTATTAATAGTATACTTTTGAAATAATTACAGACAATGTCTTGGTATCAAAACTCTAAGCTCCGGTCACGTCAAATTAACTGCAAATAGCGCGCTAGAAATTCTGAGAAGACATGGGATTTATAGGGTTTCTTGTGAGGTATTCATGGAAACAGATGGTAGTATGGTTGAGGGCTAGATTGTTATATCTTCGATTCAGAACTCTTTAAGATTGATTTACTATTTCGTGGTAGATGGTGAACTATATCTAAAGATTAATCACCAGAACCTTGGTTATGAAAATTTCTTTTTAGTGAATCAATTGAAGATTCTTTAGAAATCTTTTATTATAAATGTCTTTAATTGTGGCGTTTTAAATAGCTCGAATTGCGAAGTGTAATTTTTAGATTAAGCAGTGCAGAATAGATGTTCAACACCAAATGTTTTTTGTAGTTTGATCATTATAAAGTAAAAGTATTAGTCGTTTTATGTTATGCAAGTATATATTCTCTGTTGTCGCATTTCTAATTGGGTATTTAATATAATACGGGTGTTGTTAACGCTAAGGAAAAATCTGTATGTATTGGATTTAAATTTTAACTATACCGAACTTAAACTCAGAAAACTTGAGATATATATACAAGCATAATCGAGATTCCAATAAGGATTTTTTGTCGGTCATTATTCTTAATATATATATAATCTAAACCATTAACATCTCTCAGAAATAGCAGCCATTTTATTTTTCATATAAAAACAATTAGTTAAATCTAACAAAATACTTCAAAGAGCGCACAGAGGAATTTACTTGCATTAACTTAGTAGAGTGAAATTATAATTTGAATCAAGATATATATTTTACTAAAGAAGAATGACCGGCAAAGTATTCTTATTTATAAGGCGCCAAATCAACTATATCTCCCATATGGTATGTACGTACGAGTACGTATATTAATCACTTTAGATCATGCGCCACTAATATTATAAACTGTGGGGAGATTATCACTAAACCACGAAAATCAAATAATACGTATCGATATTATTTATCACCTCTTAAAGCTTTAAATTGAAAATTAAAGTTTCGTTATAACTAATCTGAAATTTGATAATACCGATACGTGTAATTATTAATACACTCGAATAGACTCAATGGGAGCTCCAAATAACTCAATGGATAACAGCACCATTCGGGTATTCCTTGTGACTTGTCCAAATTAATTCATTATTGGAAAGAATAATATTTAGAATTTCTTAAATAGTCTACCACATGTAATACGTATTAATAAAAAATTGCTCAATTTTCGAATCATCGCCACGATCAACAAGTTAACGCAATTATAAAGCTATCGCGATTGTATATCTTGATTATTTTATTGTGAACCAATTTACCTACCGTAACATCTGTTATTATTATCATTCTTTTGAGTTAGTACAGCCTATTAGTGATTATAGAATTAACATGTACTAGTTCGGAAAGAGATATAATATACTAATAACTTTATAATACTCGCGGACTAAACTGCCCTCCTCTTTAGAATATACACCAGCTTTTATCTAGATAATTTTAATCTTAATGGTACATTTATTGATATCAATATGGTATTTAATGTAAAGTGTAAAATACACTATATATTATAATATCCAAGTATAAAGCTACGGGGAGGGTAACAAAAGTGGATATGTAATCAATCGAAAAGGACAAGTATGACACAATAATACATTATGCCAAAAAGTTTGTGATACTATGCCAATCAGAATTTAATTATTTCCATATAAATATGATGGTTTTTTATTTTTAGCAATCATTTTTTTTTCGAGACAAAGGATGAGTGATCCTGATGGTAAGTTTGTTTATTAAATTCTTTCCCGAATAAAATTTTGATTAGATTATTATTAACATATCTACATATTATAAATTAGTACCACCCGAAAGACCAAAATATAGAGCTGGTCGCAAACCAACCGCTGTCAAGATTTATACCGTGAACCACGAGTCCAGGTAAATATGATGTTTGAAAATTTTTCACAAGTTATCGAGTTGATCAAAAATATTTTAAAATATTTTTAATAGATATTTAGTTGTAGAAAACGTACCGGCATTGGGCCTAAGTAAAGAATTAATAGAACTTTTTTCCCTTTATGGAGCCATTGAAGAGTGAGTTTTTTATTTTAAACTTTGTTTTTTTTTTACACAAGACTAAAAAAAAACTTTTGATTCTTAGATATCGGTATTTAGATGATTATCCATGTGAAGAATTTACAGATGTATATTGGATAAAATTTAAATCAATTGCTGAAGCTAGGTAATTTTTGGAAAAAAAAAAAGAGGAAATTGGTTTAATATTTAAAAAATTCACAATATCTCAATTATATAGAGTAGCAAAAAGAAAGATTGATGATCACTTTTTCTTCAGCGCTTATCTAAGAGTACGTTACGGACCTGAATATGAAACTATCGAAGATACACGACAAAAATTACAGGATAGGCGCAATGTTGTTGCGATCAAGACTCGCGAACATGATGAAAATAAAGATAAGGGTATTATATATATCTATTTATTTTACAAAAATTATAAAATTCATTAGTATTAATGATCTAATTATTACTTTAGATGCCAAATTGACAACACTTAATACTACCACCACTTTCCCATCAGCACATTCTACAACAGAATCCATATCATCTTCTTCATTGCCACCCACAAACATCTATCCACAAAAGTATGATCATACCAATTACACATATTCGGATTATTATTATTCATATCCTTATTCAATGTATTATAGGTCAGTATGTACGTATTAAATAAATAAATAAATATAAAATTTTTATATTTAAACATAGATATTTCACTTTCTACATAGTCAATATAATCAAGAACCATCAATACCGGGTGTCGATTATCAACATGGCCAATATAATCAAGAACCACCAATACCAGGCGTCGATTATCAATATAGTCAATATAATCAAGAACCACCAATACCAGGCGTCGGTTATCAATATAGTCAATATAGTCAAGAACCACCAATACCAGGCGTCGATTATCAATATAGTCAATATAGTCAAGAACCACCAATACCAGGTGTTCAACCAGAAAAAAACACGAGCAACATACAGTCAGAAAAAACTACCGAAAGAACATCTGTTTCAGAACCTAAGAAACGTCGAAGAATTTAAAGACTTTAAATTCTTCGACGTTTCTTTTAGGTTCTGAAACATATGATGTTCTTTCTGATTGTGTGTTGCTCGTGTTTATAAATGTATATTATAATTATTAAACTTTATATACTATATATATAATTAATTATCAAACTTTATATTACTAAATAATTAATTATCAAACTTTGTATATAATTATCAAATTAAATTTAGCACGTATTAACATGAGAAAAAATAAACACCAAGAATTGTAATTATATTTGCATAAGTCTTCCTTTTATTATTATTATATTTTTTTAAATTTTAAAATTTTTTTAAAATTTTTGATTTTTTTTGTTTTAAAAAAAAACTTGATTGTATGTGGGATTATTAATTACATAAGGAGAAAGGCTTATTGCGTAAATTTAAAAATCGTAATGGTTGTGTTTAAACATATACATATGGGGGATTTAAATTTTTACAATTAAACAAATTTACAGTTGCTTTTTTTTTAGGGGGAAGAAATTTACATATAAAAAAAATATATACATCAATCGTGATGTACAATTCGAGTTTTCATGCATGATTTGCGCATCTTCCATGCCGAGTGGTAGGATAACTGCGCCATAAATTATATAGGTACCCAATTAAAAAAAAAAAAAGGCGATATCAAAGTTGTCGACTAAAAAGTCGATGGGAATTGTAGAAATAATTTCGACTACACTTCAAAAGACTACAAACACACTCTATCACACTCCTCTCCTCAATTTCTTCCTCTGTAACATTCCAATTCTTCTACCAAACTTTCAGACCCACCCTCCAACTAATTCCGGAATCTTCAAAACAAATACAATTAATGTTTAAGAAAAAATGGCGAATTAATTAAAGGGAGGATCAATAAGATGGAGAAAATAGAGAAAAAAAAAGAAATGAAAAAAAAGAAAAGTGGGAAGAATGTTGCTTGAAGTAATTAAAAAGGTCGATGCAACATTAAAATACCAAAATAATAGTTCTTTTTTTTTTTTTTTTTGGTAAAATGTGGGCACTGAAAAAGCGCAAGACATTAAAAAAAAAAAGATAATATATAATACAAATTGAAAAAAAAAATAAAAATTTTTTTTCTTTTTTTTTTGCCATAAAACCCATTTCCCAAATATAAATATAAACATAAAAAAAAATAAAGATAACCAATAAAAGATTTAATTAAAAATCGTTAAACCCAGTATAGTGAATACCGATAAATGGATAACCAAGACATTAGTAAGAGGAGATACAACATGTTGAAAACTTAATTACACATGTGTATTTTAAACAAATGTTTTGAAAGAATTATCGGGGATGCTAGGCCAGGGTGGATTCGACAATCACATGAGTGACACGATACGGATCAATATTTGATGCCGGACGTCGATCTTCCAGATACCCTTTCCCTTCAGCAGCAACATGTCGCGGTATACGAATTGAAGCGCCACGATTTGCAACACCATATGAGAATTGAGATATATGCCCCGTCTCATGACGACCCGTTAGACGTTGTTCATTATCTTCACCATAAACAGCTATATGTTCAGCATGTCTTGTTGCCATTTTATCAATAGCATCATGTATTGCTTTAATGCCACCTTCTTCACGCATAGCCTGTGTTGAATAATTCGTGTGACAACCTGCTCCATTCCAGTCGCCTTTTATTGGTTTAGGATGGAAAGATACCACGGCGCCGAAATCTTCGGCAACACGCTTCAGCAGAAATCTTGCCATCCAAAGATGGTCACCCATATCGATCCCTTCACATGGGCCTACTTGGAATTCCCATTGTCCTAAAGATTAGGTGAATAATAAAGTAAATAAAATGAAATCAAATCAAATCAAATTATTATATATATAATAATAATAATAATATATTATATTATATATTATATATATATTATATTGTATAATTGTATAATTGTATAATAAGTATAATAATTACCAGGCATGACTTCTGCGTTGACACCAGAAATTTTAACACCGGCATAAAGACAAGCGCGGTAGTGAGCTTCAACAATATCACGGCCGAAAGCTACGTTAGCACCGATAGAACAATAATAAGGACCCTGAGGACCTGGGAACCCTCCCTTAGGCCAGCCAAGAACACTGCCTTCCATATCAAAGAGGGTATATTCTTGCTCGATACCAAACCATGGATGAGCATCACAATAAGTTTGCATAATTTTAGTACACGAATGACGATAATTGGTTCTATTAGGAGTTCCATCATTATTGTAACATTCACAAAGAACAAGAATATTATCGCCACCCCTGAAAGGATCCTTAAATATAGCAGCAGGACGAAGCAAAACATCAGAGTTATCACCAGGAGCTTGATTGGTAGAAGAACCATCAAAATTCCATTCTTTCAGTTCAGAAACGTCATCGGGTTTTTTGTCGAGAGTAGTGGTCTTAGCACGGAGGCCTCCATCGCCGTCGATCCAAATGTATTCGGCTTGGATTTTACCTCCTTGGTCGAGGGCAAGGTATTTAGCAAGGGTTTGAGTGTTGGATTTGTTGCTGATAGACATTGTCATAAAAAAAATTACTCTTTTGATTGAAAAGACTAATTTGATATTTGTTCGTTAAAAAAAAAGTCGTAACAAAAACAATAATCCAGAAATTATATACTGGGAAATGAGTGGGCAAAAAAAGAAGTTGTATTAAAAAAAGCAGTTGTTTGATAAAAAAAAAGCAGTTGTAAAGTTTGTTTGAAGAAATGAGAGAGGAATGAAAAGTGGGGTTTATATACGAAAGGAATTAATAAAAAATAGATTATTTTTTTAATTAACCTTAATATAATAACGCGTGATGTTGTACATTTAAAAAAAAAAAGCCTTTTTTTTTAGAAATGATATTCAGAACTACACTTTCAATATATTTGAATTTACTGTATATATATATGACTTGTATGATGGGAATGACAAATGGTCGGACAAAATATTTGTCGATAAAGTTCGATAACCCCAGTAGTATAAGTATATTTTTGTATTTTAATTGCTTAATAAATAAATTGATTTGAAAAAAAATTTTTTTATCATTAAAAATCGATTGATGAATACTATTTTTGGACAATTGTTCGGTATGAAAATCTATGACAGATATCTCTAAATCTGGAAAATGTTATATAATAAACTTTTCCTGATTGATATCTCTATATTCAAATCGAAAATTTTTTATTAACCTTTTTTAGGTTTAACTTAATAGTTTAACCAACCTTAATAATATAAGCATTGTCAACAGTTATAAATGTAACCTTGATAAGGTATTTTATACTTTTAAGGAAATTGATAGCTTATCTAGAGTTTAACAACCGGAAGCAAGCGGTAAACAACGGAGAATAAGGTTACTCGAACTTTTTTTTTTTATTCTAACAGATCCTCAAACAAATCCATCAAAGAATCACAAGAAAGGAAATTGTATATCTGATACATCTCAATCTATTTTTTTTTGTTTTTAGATTTTTTTTTTTGCCATTTAATTAATTAATTAATTTCGAATTTCGTATTTCAAAAATTTTAAAAAATTTTCGATTACAATATATGCGCTCCGAACACAGTTTATTGTTTGGAATACGGGGTGCATATACGAATGTATTCCTAAATTGATCTGAATCTAACAAGCGCGCATTTATTTTTCAAAGAAGGCTATGAAAAAGATATATCAATACAATACCAATTAATACCGATACAGAAAAGTTGAATGCAACGCCAGCCTATGGTAACACGAACTTTATGCCAAATAACAAGGCCGTATCACAATATTTTTAGGCAGGTTCGGTTACAAACAAGGGATAGTATGTATGTCCTAAACAAGCTAGAATCGATAATTCAAATGGAGTAGTTAGATAGTTTAAACAGTTAAAGCGTACTTGAATAAATAGTACGTAGTTCGCGTCGAATTTGCTGACTAATACATTAATCGGTGATTTTAAATTTTAAAAATTTAAAATGTTAATATTTACTACTTCTCATTTGTCATACAGGCCATAATCTAGATAACGCATGATCATCTTTTAATTTTTATCTCTTTTGACGATGAAAATCTAGATTTTTATGATCTAGTTCCAGCCTCGTATGTACGTATGGTACTTGTTAAGTTACCCGTAAAAGTTCTTGTGTGAGACTACTCCAACAAACATCATCACTACATAGGTACACATCATCACTACATAGGTACACATCATCACTACATAGATAGGTACAGTACATCACTACTACATAGGTACATACGACGTAAACATTCGAAACTTCTGTGTCCCGAGTCAAATGTTCACAAATTACTTCTGAAATCAATAAAACACAAAGGTGTAATGTTCTAAAAAAGGTGATATGATATTTATATTAGATATCCTAATTTGAATACGCGTGTAAACTTTAAAAATTCGCGCGACGCGCCTTTGAGATTATAAATTAGTAATACTATAATTTAACGATTGTGAAACAATGCGCTTGGCTTTTTCTTTTAAGACTTCAGTGACATTAATATAAACAATGACCATAACCGTGGATCATAAATCTCAATCTTTGTTCATCGTCAAAAATTACCTGTCTTTATCCTATACAATGGCTTTGTTCTTAATTATTCCCTTATATGGTTATCAAAATAAAGCTCTAGTTCAGGTGACTTTTATACTCGCTTTTCGCATATTTACTTCTTTGGTATCCCATGCCAATCAAAATGAACACATCATTCTTTATGCTTTATCTCTATACTTATCAGGGAAACAAAATGCGTTTTCCTGTTTCATTCCTCTAATGGTTCTCTCCTATCGATTTGTTTTTTTAGGAACTATCTCCGATATGATTTGGATATGATTTGGTGTATGTTATCTATTTAAATGTGTTCTTATTTTATTTATAGCCTAGTTATACTAGTTATACAATTACTGTATGTCGTCCCCTATTATCATTTTCTTACTATAGTAAGCTCGGAAATTTCCTGAAAATCTTTTATTCTGTATATCGTCGTCGTCCAAGTTTTTCTCTCTCGTTCTATCTATAATTTACAATAAAAAGATCTACTTGTTCCCCAAATGACTTAATATATCCTTTTTAGTTCATGAAACCCTATATCGATATGAATATCAATATTTCGTACGTACATGCTAGTTTCACAAATTTCGTTAAATTTTTTTTAAAAAAAATTCATATGAAAAAATTGATTGGATTTTGTTTTTGGGGTTGGAAATCAAGAATTATCAAGTATCATCAAGTATACTCTTATCGTAATGAATAATATCAATATCCTACGATTTAACTTAACTGGATTCTTAGAATCTTTCTATCCACTTTTTCTTTTCTTTGTGTGCGTATCCTTAACGTTAACTCAAATTTTTGGCCAAGACGATAATGGGTTATATTTGTTTGTATAATAGATTTACATTTAACGTAATATTGGAAACTAAAATCAACTTTAACGTTAATTTTCTTCATATGCATATCCATGTGACACGAATAAACGGGTTCCAAAGTTCCCTAGTCAAGTACTGTAGTACCTAAAAGGGTCTAAACTGTATGCGTCCTGCTCCGAGCAAAATAGTTGTAACCATCCCTTAGTCATGTCGCATTTAGATTTTTGTGAAAAGGGGTTTTCTTTTTTTCATTATATAAATTTTTTCTTAACGTTAACGTTAAATGTTAATTTTCAAATTTTTTGATGGGGGTATTGCACGAAATAGTCCTGACTTTTTAGTAAATTTAAAATACTTCCAAATTCATGTTTAATAAAGATATATAATTCATTATCCGTATGTATTCCCAAAATATTGTTTTTTTTTTAAAAAAAAAACATTTGCCAAGTAAATTATAAATGCGGTATTACATTATTCATAAAATTTGTAGATTCGTCGTTCACGTGACCAATCATAATTTTAGAATGGTATACTTGGCGCTTGGCGGCACGTGTACCTATTGGCGTGTGTAATACAAACCCCTAAGAAGGAAATGGCCAGAGAACACATATTTTGACTATTCCGGACAGAGTTCTCCAGGCGACCGCAAAAAGTACAGGTCATATTATCTGAACCATCGCCACAGCCATATCTCAATAACCAGTATATTGCCTTGTTGCATATTTCATTTTAAGAAATTTTCACAATATAACGATAAAGCTGCATGCAGGAGCAGTGGCTGTGGCGTCTTATCATGTGTCCGTACTACAGTACTAGGGATATGAAAAGTTCGGTCCGGTCCCAACTCGACTCCAGAAGCCATAGGAAGACTTTCGTATGATTGGCTGTTTTAAGTCTATTTAATTTTACATTATTTATACAGTTTAAAGTACTTTTTAAAAACAAAAAAGAAGTATATAGAAAGTTTAATAGGGTTGTAGGACTCCACTATTAAAAATAATAAAATCTCTTTTTGTTTTAGAGAAGTTAACATGGTACTAACCTAATTCTATCTATCTTTAAGAAGTCACTATTATGTTAACTTCTCTAAAACCAAAAATGATTTTTATTATTTTTAATACTAGAGTCCTACAACCCTAATTAAACTTTTTATATACTTCTTTTTTGTTTATTCTTCGTAGTTTGATTTTTTTTAAAAAGTACTTTAGACTGTATAAATAATGTAAAATTAAATAGACTTAAACAGTCTTCCTATGGACTTGAAACAGTTATTCACCATAAGTTAGAGTATTCTGATTGGTCGAAAGCATGACAGATGGCATTCGAGTTCCAAGGATAAGAGCTCAAACTGTGAAAAATATTACTAGATTAGCATTAGGGGTCTGCAAATGCCCATGTTGGGCATATGGGCATTATGCCAGCACTAGGTGCCTCATGCCATGCCTATGCCTATAGGCATAAAATGCCAGGCACTATTGTAGGCATGGGCACAAAGTGCCGGGCACCATTAAAGGCATGGGCATAAAGTGCCGGACACTATGATAGGCACGGGCACTAAGTGCCAGGCACTATGATAGGCACAGGCACTAGTGCCAGGCACTATAGGCACTACTATAGGCACTAAGTGCCGAACACTATAGGCACCAAGTGCCGAACACTATAGGCATCAAGTGCCGGCACTATAGGCACTAAGTACTGGGCACTATAGGCACTAAGTACCAGGCAATATGGACATTACAGCTGTTTTCATAAATCCTGGGACACCTGATAAAAATTTGCCGAATGATTTTTCGGCCGATTCTATTAAGTTATTTGATTTCGGCAATGATCGGTGTATATTTTTACATGTAAGATAATTTTATCATTACGTATAAGGTAGATGTGCGACGCTGTTGCACTAAACTCAGGAATGTAAACAACGATATTTTTAATTATATATGCCAATTCTTGCATTATATCATAAAGCTTTTGATTTGATTTAGCATTACGACCTAATCTTGAAAATTTCTTCATTAATTTTGTTATAATATAGAGTTTCGCATTATGATTTCATCAACTGACTTAGTTTGTAAATCGTGTAGAGCAATTTTAG